AAAAACAACAACATTCATAAATTATCATTAAACGTTTAAATGTGACGCAGCAGCTCTGGGGGCACGCCGCATGCTGTATGCTGTATGCTGTATGCTGCATGCAGCACGTTGCACGTTCCCAGTTGCTAGTTGCAAGTTGCACATTGGTAGATGCAAGCTCAGTTCTGGCCAGGGAGAAAGAGACTTTTGCTATCTTTATAATGAGCCAAATGACATATTTATTTGTTGTCGCTGGCAGTGGAGCAACGCAAGTTTGTTGCCACAATCAGCGCGCTTGTTGCATGCAATTTCTTTTGGCCAGCAGTCGCGTCTAGAGTCTAGACCGTAGACACATGGCGCACCAGAGGTGACAGCTGATTGTCATTGTTGGCATATTAAAACAGGCTCACAGTCTGCACGCGCCGCCACCGTTGGGCTGGGTTTCTAGGCCCACTTGAAGTCTTGAAGTCGTTGCCGTCTTTATGGCCAAAGACCAGGCCCAGAAGGCCTCGACCCAGCCAAGACGGCTAAACGGCGACAGCCACTGACAATTGACACTCTTGGCCGAGTCCCGCATTTCGAGTCCCTTGTTTCACCCGCTCGAAAATAGTCAGTTCAATCGCGAAGTTCAGCTTGGGAAGCCAATTTTGTATGCAACGTGCATCTTCCAAAGGGCAGGGACATCGACTTTGCTGGGGCATAAAAACTGGGACTAGAAGTGAGACTGCAAGAGGGAGATACCAGAAAAGATCTAGGATCTGCGTCGAAAAATGGGCCGGGAACTGCTTCAAAGTCTGCAGCAAGGATACAAAAACTCCAGTTCAATGCAATAAACAAGACAAACAAAACAAAGACAAGCTAAGGAACAGAGGCGGACATCTCACATTTAAAGGGTTTTATATTTTGAGTACTAATGGAAACCTATATAATAAAACTTTAAAATAAGGAAATGTTTTAAAAGATTTTATTTTACATAGCAGGACGGTCATCAAAATACAAATTTTTCTTCGTTAACAAAAAAGATCATAAGAAAATATTGCATATTTAACTATCCCCTTTTCTGTAAAGTTCTATAAAATTTAAACATACCGAGCAAAAGTAATGTTCTCTAATATAACTCGATTACCTAGTTCCTCTCCCATTTCACTTACCATATATTGCGGTTTTATTAACAAGAACCTCCTTTCAATAACTGCAAAACAAACTATAAATACAAATATAATACCCGCAATTACAACATGCTTCGTACAGGATCATAAAAGTTGTTTGAGCCACCTTAAAGACCCCTGTAATGCACCGCCCCCTTGCAGCAAACGACGCCTCTGCCTCTGCTTCTGCCGCTGCCTCTGCCTCTGCCTCAGTGCAACCCTGCCCCTGCAACTCTGCGTCTCGGCCACTGCAACTCTGCGTTTGCAACGCTGCGTTTCTCAACCGGCAATCATCGTTTCGGGCCGGAGATTCACTCGCGGCGCGATCTCCTTAGCCAGGCCACGGCCAAAGCCCAATGGCCGATGGCCACAAACAAAAGTGCGTTAATAGCCAAGACACACATGGCAAATGTGCGCCGCCCCACCGCCGCCCCCACCGAAAAAAGTGGCGGGGTTTTCGGTGAGAGGATGCCTTCGGTTGGCCGGGACAAGCAGCTAACGCGCCTTTTACAAATTTTTATTGAAAAATATTAAATTCTCATTAAGGCAGGAGAGGTACGAGCAGGTTCCCAATCGCGTCCCAGGCAGCATCTCGAGTACATTTAGCCACGTTCGCTGGTGGTTTTCTTTCTGTTGTTTTTTTTTTACTGCTGTGGTTTTTCCTGAACGAACCCGAACCGAAGTTGGCGCGCGCTCACATGCGCCGATAGACTCGCTTAGATAAAAGATGATTTATGGGTTTTATGGTGTGATGGGAATTTTAATTTCCAGCATTTTTGCTTAACAAAATTAAACATGGGACTGCGAGCGACAGCCACATAAAAAGAAGGGGGAGAAATTTGGAAGGGGGAAGACTGAAGGAAGGAAGAAAGCCAAAGCGAAGACAGGCACAAAACGGTTATTTGCCTGTATTTGGGATCGGGCAATTGTCAAATGAGGCGACCTCCTCCAGACGATTCCATTTTTAATTGAGCCAAAGCGCACAGCATGTACCGCCGACCGTCAACTGGCAAACTGGCAACTTGCAACCAGCAAACCAACAACCAAACAACCAACAACCAGCAACTTGCAACTTGCAACTGCTGCGACGGGCAACTGTCCATTATGCTCACTCACCTGTAAAATAAATGGCAAAACTGCCAAACACTTTGGCTAACTGACAACTGCTGCTGCTGCTGCCCCGGCATCATCGTTCCAATTTAATGCCGCGTGGACAGGGATCGAAAAGGGGTGATAAAAGGGAAGGGGGAGGGGGGTGGTGCACCCACTGCTGTGATCCGAGGTCTCGCGGCCCGTTCGTTTACCGTTAGGTGTCAAAGATTTCATGCCCCATGTCGCAAACTAACGACACACAATCGATCACAAATCAAACGGACAGAAGCGGCAGCCGAAGCAGCAGCAGCAGCAGAAACCCGCAGTTGCCGCAGTTTGCAGCAGTTGCCGCCGTTGCGACAGTCATCCAAATGTGTCTCAAAAATCAGGCCGCGGCCAATGCAAAGCCGTTTCATAAATTGCACATGACCTGACGACCAGCAGCTCCGAGCAGCTCCAAACTGCTCTGCTCCATCTACTGCTCCATCTCCTGCCCAAAACTGCATCTGCGGCAGCCAAAAGGCAGCAGAAAGGCATAACAATAAATTAAAAATGGATGTCGATGGCTAAGTGCACTGGGAATCAGCTTCATACATTTTATTTTTCATGAATTCGAAGCAAGAAATTTGATGAAAATCAATAGAAATAATAAGAGGCTTTATATTAATTCAAAACAAATCCCAACACAATTGTATTTTTATTTACTTTTCCATCTAATATTCATTTCAAAAGATTGTTATGTTTAGGTACTTATTAGAAAATGTAGCAAAATATAAACAACCAATATATTATATTAATTTTAATTATTTTTTGTTCATACCTTTAAACGTGTATTATAAACTTATTGAAATTTTCATAATATTTATAAGGCAACTAAATTATTCTCTCTGTAAAGATGAATGTGGATGCGAGGCCCAACTTAAAGAGATCCAGGCTGCAAGTTGAAAATCCCCTGCTTTCAGACTCCTTCAATTGCTGGCCGGTCGATTTGGTTATTGGAGCGCTTTTTGTCTGATGGACAGCTGCCGACAGCCTGAGCCACACATCTGCAGTTCCCGCTCCCAGATTCAAGTGGCCCCATCCACCTCCTCATCCTCGATCTCCGCCAATTCCCGCAATTGATGGACAGCGTTTGCTGGCTGCAGCGCAACGCGACTTTATTGGTTTTTAATGAGCGGCGTTGTGATTTCAATGCTTATCTAAATGTATTCAGTAGATATTTGTCCACTGGATGGCATGGGGTATGTGCGATATAATGAAATCAAGTAATATGACTCATAAAATATTTGCAAAACTGTTATTTAACGATAGCTTAAAGTTTGTGATTGAATAAGTTACAAATGGATTAATGTCAGGCTGTAATGACTGCTCAAAGAGCTTGCAAAATTGTGTGATTTGTAATACCAAATTAATCTTGCTTACCTCTTTTAACCCATTTTTTATCAACGTAAATCGATCCAACATTACTCACCTCATTGTCAATCAACATATCGGTATCCTAAACTCTTTCCCATGGGTATATCCCCATTTTCGGATTGCCTCGGCACAAAAGAATTGCCCAACGGAAGCTGCAGGGCATTCGCAGCGTCGATCAGCGTTAATTAAGGCACCTTCTCACTTTATTTACTTTTACTCATTTGCATATGCGTTTGGGTCATTAAACCTGACCTCCCCGGCCCACCGGCCACTGGCATCCGAGTCCATCCTCCAGCAGCCAGCATTCAAGAGTTTGTATCGCCGCAATATTGACCTGACCCAAGGCATATTAATTAACCCAAAAAACCGGTCTGTTATATTTGTCTAACCTTTATGCTAAACGCGGTGACGGCAACACCACCAAGCGCAGTTGGGAGCGGAAAAAATAGTAAAAAAAAATATAAAAAATAAAGGCAGTAGCAGTAGCAGTCGCTACTGTGTCGGTGTCTTGAATTCGGTTATTAATTTACCAATAAATTGCCATGGCGTATGCGTAATATTTCACAATTGTGCCTTAATGACCGAGAGCGTTATTCATGCACTGATTTCCGCTGCAGGTGTCATCCAATCCGAAGTCGGGCCAAGCCATCTAGGTAACCAGTTATGCGTATTAGCCAGGCCCAAAGATCCAGCTCCCAGTGCTCCAAAGCTCCGGCATTTCGCATTGAAATTACAAATGACGAGAAATTTGTCATCTTTATTATTGCAAACAACGCGCAGTTGTACGCTGCAAAGTTGCAAAACGACAAACGACGACAATACTCCCCTGGACAATTGGCCAAAGGAGTGCGTGCCGTGGCACAAAAGCCACAGCCACAGTCACAGCCAAAGCCAAAAAGCAAAAGGCGGCCCGGCAGTCGCTGACAACTTGCCACACATCTTTGTGCGGCAATGGGGAACCCAGGGGCACACTTGTGGGGCAAACTGTAGTCCACAGTCCGCAGTCCGCAGTCCGCAGCCCCATTGTGCGCCAATTGATTTTTCATTCAAATGAAAATGCTCGGCGGATGAGGACGCGGATGTGGATGTGGATGAGGATGAGGACGCGGATGCGGATTTGGCCAGCGATCCCCCGTAATGAGCACGGCTTCCAAGGCTTCGTTTGGTACAAAAAAGTATTCGCTTTTCTTTTATTTCTCAAAAAATAATACAATTTGTTTAGCTCTTATGTGTTTGTCTGTGAGTGTGCTAAAATCTATGATGACAGTTGGTATGAGGCAAATTGCTTTTGGGGCTCGCCAGGGAGTACAGTGCGTTTCGGAGCTATAAGGCAGTTTGGAATGTATTTATAGATAACCAGAAATATGAAATATTTTAATTGTTTATTTAATGCTTTAGCAGAAAATATATTCAATTTACAATTTGTCTTTTAAACATCCTAAAAAATATTGTCTTGTCATTAATTTGAATTTAATGTAAGTTTTTTAAATTAAAGACATTCGCATAAAACAAAAAGGAACATTTAAAAAATGTGTATCTTCGTGACATAATATTTATGTTAACTTCCTTTTAATTGTTAAGCACATTGTGTTACAGTTTTAATTTTATAGCACATAAGAGAAAAGCGATTACAGAATGAAATAAAATAAAAGAAGTATAATTGAAACGTAGTGATTAAGAATAAATGGAATTTACTAGTGAGCAAGTATACTCTCTCTCCAATCCCCTTGGCCAAAATCCTCAACAACTATCACATCATATGCGTATAGTACAAAATGTTTAAGATATCCTACAGATGAGAGAATTTCTATTCAGATAAATATTGCTTTGCTTGGCTCTTCCGGTTGTTTTGCCTCTTTTGTAGTTCTTTTTTTGTATACAATTTTCTACTTAATAACCAATAAAAATTTGATCTAAAATTAGTTAAACTTCTTCTTATCGAACTAGGCTGTAAATGTTTATCTAGATCTATGTACACGCAAGTTGCTAGCACCAATCCAAAACTATCTCTAAAAATATGTATATTTAACTATGCAGATATTTATCTATATTTATATATATATATAGTAGGTATTAATCCACTTTGTTAACTTGGCTTCTGAAGGCAATTGTCTCTGGGCTTAAAATGTGAAAAATTTTACAAATCTTTCCGCCCTGTAACTACAGTTTAACTAAATCTAAATTGGGCTTTGAGCCCTCTTAAAATCAAAATTGAGCTACTTAGGCGATATGGAATATCTGATCTGGTCTCAGCGAATGATCAATGGAAGTGGTTCGAGTGCATATAAATAATAAAGAGCTGCTTTCCCGCAGCATCTCGGATGAGTATTCTCGGATGTGAGTACGAGTACCCGGATGAGTACTCGCATGAGTACCAGTGTGAATACGAGTACGAGTATGTATGGCCAGATCGGCAGTCGCAGTTCCTCAGTGGCGGCGCATGTGCAGCGACAGGTGGTCCGAGCGGCTGAAGCTCCGGGTGCACAGTTGGCAGCGGAACGGCTTCACGCCCGTGTGCTTCCGGTAGTGGCGGGTCAGCTCATCGGATCGGGCGAACCGCCAGATGCAGCCCTCCCACGTGCACACATACGGCTTCTCGCCTGGGGAAGATTGAGAGATTGAGATGGGTTTGGGGTTAATTAAGTGGTTTTACCTATACAAAATATTCATAAGTACAGAGCAACACCAACTTAAATTTAATCAATATTAGAATCTAGCTACTTATTTCTCTTTCTGGTAATATTAAACATATCTAAAGGTATTAAGTTGATACTTTTAATTTTAATACCCGATTCCACTTAATCTTTTTATAGGATTTTGCATCACCAATTCACGTATTGGATTTGCTTTGTTTACTTTTTAATTTCGTTCCAAATAACTATTCAAAATAAATTTATTAAAACAATATTATCGACCAAACAGGTTATTTAAAAGTTGTATCATTTGATTTAAATTAAGAAGTATGCCACTTAAAACCAGAATCAGTTTACAAATAGTTTTATAGTTTTAGGTTTTTTAAAGGTGATCAATAATGTTGTTATCAATTAAGACTCGTAAAGATAGTAAGCTTAAACAGATTTCTGTTCTTTTTAATGAATAATCAAAAATTAAATATATTTTTAAGTACAGCCAACTGAGACCCTCACCTGTGTGCGTTCTTTTGTGCGCCTTAAGGTGCGAACTCTTCGTGTACACCTTGTCGCATCCTTCGGTGTCGCACTTGTGCACCTTGCGGTTCTTGGAGAGATCATTGTAGCCGTTGTTGGCCGCCGAGTCCGAGGAGGAGGATCGCCCGAAGGCGGAGCCCCCTCCGCCGAAATTGATGCCACTGAAGCTGCTGCTGTCCTTGCGCGTCGCCCCCAAAGCCATGCCACCGAAGGCGGGATTTAAGGCGGCATGGGGCGATCCCGATCCCGCATAGCTCTTCCAACTCGGCGAGGAGGAGCAGCCCGATCCGGCCAAGGATTTGCTGGAGCCGCCAGTGGGCGAGGACTTTCTCGTAGCCTGACCATCTCCGAACTTATAGGGATTCTTGAAGAGACTCAACAGCGAGAACTTGCGATCGTAGTCCTGCATGCTGCTCCCCGCGGATCCTGCACCACCGCTATTGCTGCCGTTGTTGTAGCTGCAGCTGTTGTTGTTGTCCTCCTGCTTGATACCGCCGCTGCCACTTCCGCCGCCACTGATCCGTCGATAGGTGAAAAAGAATGGCGAGGCCGCGAAGAACGGCGAGAATGGCAACTTGGACACACCGGAGGCATAAAGTTGTTGTTGCTGCTGCGTCGTCTGATGTTGCTGCTGCAGCTGCTGATGTTGCTGGCGGGCAAAGGCCCCCAACGAGGCGGCACCAGCTGTTCCCGCTCCAAAGCCCGAGGACGAGGACGAGCCGGAGGACCCACTCTGCTTGCCATTGCTGTAGCCAATTGCCTTGCTGGCCGACGAGGATTTACAGCTGCCACTGCCACTGCTGCTGCTGCCATGCGAAGTGCTCGCTGCAAGTGAAGAAGACGAAGAAGATGAAGGGGGGTGTGGTTGAGCGGTTGGGAAAACCAATTGAGATTCGGTTAACAAAATGGCCAAAATGGCGGGGCCACTTTATGGCCGCCAATGCCTAATGAGACTCGTAAATGAACCGCAAACTGAACCAAGTTACCAGACAACAAAAAATCAGGCAGCCTCGACTAATTTAATAGGACGAATGTTTTGATACCCTGGAAAAACCAAGGGAGTTAATGAGATTTGCGATCCCTTTAGATAAAATATTAATCAATAATTCGAGCTGTTGAAAAAATGGCTTATAATAATCATTAAAGAACTTTTGATAGATTTAATATTGAGAAAGATACATTTTTTTATTCCTTATCAGAACAATCTATCAGAACTCTAGAAAAATCATCATAATCTTGAAAAAAGTCTTAAGAAACTTTAGATTGTTGATACTGTATTATGAATTTCTAATATTGTAAGAATAAAAAATATGCTCAATCTTTAAAACATTTTCAATCTCAAATTTCAAAATCAGAACAAAACTATGCCACTGCAAGACATGTAGGTAATAAAAAAAAACAGGGAAACAGGCGGCCGGGAAAACTTTGGCTTGTCAGTCGAGAGTCTTTACACAATTTCCTAATTTCGTTCGACCGCCTCATTGCATCAAAAACGTTTGCATGTCGCGTATTTTATGGCCGGCAGACAGCGGCGACGAACGGACGGAAACTTAAAGACTCCAAAGACTCCAAGAGTCGAAGTCTTGAAGACGCGGATTCCGATTCAGACGGACAGCGAATCCGTGCAGTCGTGATCCATTTAACCTGTACTCTGTGCTCCAGACGACGACGACGACTGCCACTTTCGGCTGCCAGTTGCAGTTGCAGTTGCATTTGTAGTTCCAGTTGCAGTTGCAGTTTCTGTTGGGACAAGTGTGTCGATTTTGGCGCCCGCGACATCAACATCAATTGCCAGCCAAACTGCAGCTGCTGCTGCTGCTGGTCGCCAAAAGCCCCACCGGTTCCCCATTTTGAAGGGTGCTCCACTCCGCAGAGCAAACCGAAATCGCTGAGAAGTTTCCTCAAGCTTGCCACTCCACTTGGCCACTTGTCCTGCCTTAAGATTTTTTTTTTGCTCTTTTCCTGCCGAATTATTTGATCTAGCGTTCTGCGGATTCTTCATTTTCTGGATTTGGTTAACTTATTTGATTGTTAGTCGTCGAAGGATTCACGATTTGAAATTGGGAATTTTAAGCAATTTTAAAATTGAATTACAAAATTCAATTCAATTTGAGATAAAGGAGATGCAGAGATAAAGAAGTCAACTATTTTATGTGTGGATTTGATTGCCAATTTCAAATTTTGATTCTCACGCATTTGATAGTTTCTTTCAATACATTTATGTAGCTCAAATCTATGTAATTCGAAGCATTGTTTAGGAGGCACATAAAAAAGAAATTAAAATGCTTTTATAACGGTGCTTAAATAAATCTCGTAAAAAAGTGAGGCATGTTGCATATGGAGTATTAGGTAATTTTTATTCGCAATATGGACATAAAATATTGCATCTATAATGGATATATGAGGCTTGAAACAAGAAAAAAATATTCAAAGCTTTGAATGACAAAATCATTGATACGTACTTTTATAGAAGAATAAATTTTAGTATTTATTTTTAAGTTATAGCTTTTTGTTTCAGTAAGTTTTAGAAATTTTTAAACAAGTCATAAAAGTTTGCCTGAAAGTACATTCCCAAAAATTGAAAAATTAAATCCCGAGAGCATGTTGAAAAAGTATTTAACATTTATCCCATTTAACCCGGAGGCATCCCTCTTTTTATGCCTGCTAAGCACATTCAATTTTCACTCTTCTTGGCGTTGCAACTCGTTTGTCAGAGCCCCAAAACAAAAGCCAAGCGAAAGGGGAAAGGGGCGAACTGTACAAGTGACCCAGGCTTAAGTGCTTTGTCAAGCCTGCAAACTCCACATGACCGAGGGCCACATGGCGGCCAGCCGGCAACAACAACTGCAACAACAGCAACAACGAGACCATCCAAACCAAGCCAAACTGAACCAGGCCTAAACTGACCGGCCAAGCAGGGAATGGGGTCCGTTGTCCGGCGGTCCGATGGTCCGCTGGTCCGCTGGTTTCTTAGCCTCAAGTGCCTCAAGTGCGTTTGCGACTGTCTACACATGTGTGCCCTGGCTTGATGCATTTGTAATTTCCATGCCAGCGAGCGTTTTGTTTCACCAGCACCGGGTTATAGTGCCCAAGGTAGCAGACAGAGGTTGCAGACCTACAGTAGGGCTTAGCTAAGTGAAACCCTTGCCTACCTACCATATATAGAAATCATATAAAAAGCCCTGAAATTGTAAAAAAAAAAATTCCACACAATTTTAAACTTTTTTTATGAGTTCATTAAGCTTTTTCTGTTGTATCTAGAATTTTTGGAAATATAGTTTCCATAAACCATATGATTTGTACTGTTTTGGGAAATCATACACAGAATCCATATCGACTGGATCTATAAAAATATTAATAATGTTAATATAAACATCACTATAATATTCAATACGGAGCATTAGGCACTGTAATTAAAGGTTCCTTTCCCATTGAGTTAAACTTTGACACGGGGCGGTTTCAGTTGCCGAAGTTCAACTGTACTTTTCGAGGGAGGCAGGTAAAGTAAGCCCCGGGTTGAGGTCCGTTAGTCCGGGCAGGCGCGTTATTAAAATTGATGGCATTTAATTGAACTGGCCATCAACGTCAGCCCACAGTGCTGTTTGCTGTTTGCTGTTGCAGTTCGCTGTTTCTGTTTCTGTTTCTGTTTTTGTTTCTGTTGCAGTTACTGTGCCTTTCCGCTTGCCCCATTTGCTATTGCTGGAAAGGGAAGTCCAGCAGCAGCAGCAGCAGCAGCGGCCACAGTGAAGATCAGAAAATGGGGATCCGGAGAGAAGGGAACTGGATGCTATAGTGGCGTATGCTAATGCGCATTATGTGGCAACTCTCTGGCTGTCATATATTTCTCGTCTCCCAAATGACCATTCTCCTGTCCAACAGCGAGTATATACATCCTTAACTATACGAGAATGAGTGTGTGGTTGTGTGTGTGTGTGTAATCACCGCTTTTACCGAAATGCACACGCTGACTTCATATTTCTGCCAATTTGGCTTTGGCAACACACAGGGAACAGGCAACAGGCAGCAGGCAGCAAAAGACCAAACACCACCAAACAGCAAACACCGGGCGACCCAGAGATTTGAAATCACACTTGTGCCTATTGCCAAAGTGGTGCAATAAAAAAAGTGAATGTTGCCCCCAAGTGGCACCCGGCAGATTCGATCCGATGCGATCCAAAGCGATGCGATGCGATGCTATATAGACAGGCTCCTCCATCTCTGGCTCCTTTGGCGCGTCTTCAAATGGTCGTCGCTGTGGCCATAAACTGCTCATTTGACTTAGCTAGATTTACGTTGAGCAGCCAGTAACCTCCCCTCTCCACCTTTCCCCTCCCCTTTCCCCTTCTAAACCCCCCCCCTCAGCCCCCTCTACTTGTGTGCGTAGTCGAACGTGCCGCCCCAGTCGCAGTCGGCGATAATTATGATGAGGCCAGATCGTCCCCAGACCAAGCCAAGAAAAGCAGTCATCGATGGAGAGAGGGAACCGTGGTGGAAAGCAGTTGGGAAAAGGGATAACTTTTAGCATTCATTACACCTGATAAAAAATAAGTTATTGATGCTTAACTAATTACTCTAAGCGAGTGTGTATCTGAAAGTGATGATAGTGCAAGCAAATTGAAATGAATTTAAAATGTAACAGAGATTCTATAAACCAAAGTATCATATGGTTTATTTGTCAGATATATGATATCGTCAAAAATAAGAACCATTACTTAGCTGAAATACTTTTAACTGATAGTAATTGTTCAATAACAAAAAGTTTTTATTTTTACGATGATATGAAACATGTAAGACAGACAGATTGTTAGGGAAAATATAATAAACCTAATCGCCTGTGTTTAAGAAATCACAAAAAAAACTAAGTCAATCCATTAAGTGTCCGAAAACTGATAGTTAACTTAAAAAGTTAACACTTAATGTATATAAATCTTGGTTTATTTGGCAGTAAAACCAGCCTAGGTTGGTATTCACAATGGGATTTAGCCCACTGTGCAGAACAGTGTGCCAGCGTGTGCTGTGTGTGCAATGTGCAATGCGGATCTCGCACCAAATGCGACTGCAAAACTTGCAACTTTAGAAATGAGAAGCAGACGCGGCAGGCGGAGAAGCGAGGAGAGAGAGAAAAAACCCAGGCGAACAATAAATTACAAAAACAGTTGATAGGGTTTAATGTGCACTTGGTGTGCGATTGGTTATAATTGACAGTTCGCTTGGCTGGCTTGGCCAGCGCTGCTCAAGTTGGCTCCAAGTCCGATTCCGGGCCCAACTTAGCGACGTGCTTGGCCAAGCACCACCGAAGTAGCAGAAGGCACCACCGAGCACCACAGAGCACCACAGAGCACCATAGAGCACCACCGATCACCACTGGCAGGCATCGTGTGTTACGTTTCTAGCCACTTAATTGCCAGGCGGGCTTGCGTTGATTTACTAGTTGATTTTTATATGAAACTGTCGTATTTAAGTTATAATTATGAAACAACATGGCTGCGTATCCGTGTCCGTGTCTCTTTTCGATTCCACAATTTTCACACATGAACCGTTCGCTTTCTGGGCCACATCATTTGACCAACTTTGACTCCGCGATACACGTTTTGGCCCACCGACGAGTCACATTGGATTTATGGCATTGCGCATACGCCGTGGGGGCAGCCCGTCGGTCGTTCGGTCGGTCGGAATCGCCACTATACGAGTACTATATAATCTACACACCACCCTCCACACCATCATCCGCTGATCTGGCTTTTTGTTTCAGCCATTTTTCACACTCTGCGGGCGTCTTTTGAACCTTGAAATAAAAGTTTTCCCACACTGCACACGGCAAAAAC